AGAACCAGAACCGCGGCCACCAGCGCACATCATCATCGTCTTCCGTAGGCTCAAGCGCCTCGCAATATCAGGCCGTTGGACCTTCCGCGGGCTACCAGTACGTCTCTCCCCCCGAATCCCCGCCTTCGCACGAAGCTGCGTTGGCTTACTCATCGAACGTGGCTGACATATATCCAAGGTCGTTCCAGAACCATCTCCCTACACCCACACATACACCTACCCAGGACTCGTTCATGAGCGGAAACAACTTCAGCAGCAACTACACACCAAACTCGGTCAACATGGACCACACCATGTCCGCACACATGTCGATGAAGCAAGCGCTCATGGAGCAGAGTGATGACGTACCAGACTACGCACACTCGGCCGGTCAATCAGTATCAAGCTACGGCCACGACTCTCCTGCCACGCCACACACTGCACAGGACGACATCGACTTCAAGATGCCTGCCAATGGTGAGAACCTCTGCAGGATAGACTCCTGGCTTTTCAATCAGTTCTGTACTTACGATGACCCAGACGCCCGCCCTATCCCCAAGTTCGAAAGGACCTACACCGACATTGCTGCCGACACTGGCTTCTATGAACCCAGTGCCTCCGCCCAGGCGGTGTCTTCCAAGCCAGCTCAGTCGTCGCTGCTCTCGCCATACCGCAGCAGCGCCAACGAGAACGTACAGCGTGCGCTCCAGGCAGCACAGTACGCTCGCTCACAGTCGCCAAGCAGCACTGCCTCAAGAAGTGATTCACCCTTCCGCAAGAGCTCACCCTACCGTCAGCCTAGCAACACGTTCAACTCGGCTATGAACACTGCTGTTGCGGCACGTGAGCAGAACCGCCAGGCTGATGCGGCTTATGCAATGAAGTCTCAGATGCAGCCCAGCGACGATGACCCAAAGACCATCTCGCCCAAGGACGCTCTGTTAGACTACCGGGAATCCGATGAAGAATCCAAAGTTCCATTGTTTCCGGACAGTGGCGCTAGCGAGTACGACAGCCAATACACCGGTGGCGACCAATATAGGACTGCCACCCAATCCAGCTTCGACACTCCATCATCACAGTCTTACCGTCGCGACAGCTGGGTACCGCAACAGTTCTCACCAAATTTCACCACTGCCTCCGCGCCATCATTACCACAGTCATCGAGCTTCACCTTCGCCACTCCATCAATACAGAACATGCACAGCATGCCTATGAACGCGCCATCTCAATATCGATCAACACCCAACACTATGTCGTCGGGCGTCGACCAGACACCTGAGTTCCCTGCCCACCTGACTTCAATGGAGTCAAGTGCGAGCGAAGCTGAGCCACCGAGCGGCAGCCAGAACAGCGTCCTTTCAGACCGCTACATTACGAAGCCAACATCGACGGGCGCCGAGTCTGGCACCTACTCATGCACGTATCATGGCTGCTCCCAGCGTTTCGAGACCCCACAAAAGCTTCAGAAGCATAAGCGTGAGGGTCATCGAAGTGCCAATCTCAGCCAGGCTATGACGTCGGCGGCTATTTTGGAGCGCAATTCGCAGGCGGGACCCCACAAGTGTGAGCGCATCAACCCCACGACCGGCAAGCCTTGCAACACCGTATTTTCGCGTCCCTATGACCTCACCCGTCACGAGGACACGATACACAATGCGCGCAAGCAAAAGGTACGCTGCGCACTCTGTGTCGAGGAGAAAACTTTTTCGCGCAACGACGCATTGACACGCCACATGCGTGTCGTGCATCCTGAGGTCGACTTCCCCGGAAAGCACCGCAGGCGCGGAGGTAACCACGACTGAGCATGACCCGATGGCATGCGCGGTCGTCTTCCGCGGAGGCCGTGCCTCTGCCGCGCTGTCGCGCACATTCCAGAACAGCCGCGACCGTTCCATGACATGCACCTGATCATCTCACGGATCAAATGCGACGCACCAAGGCTCTGTCTGAGACCGGGCGATGTTGATACCCATGCCTCTTGCATTCGCGGTCACACGGTCACATTGCATTCAGTTGTCGCTGGTCCGAACTGAATCACCCGGCGTTCTGGTCACTTTTCTTCGACTGTATAGTATTCTGCTTTGATTTTCCAGCACATTCCTACGGATATGACTTTGAGCGACGAACCAGCGGGCGCATGGTACGATGATTTGACGAAAGAGATGGCTTCTGTATGTGCAACAAAAAAGCGATGATTTCCATAGACGACATCGCTGGCTCCAGTGGGCTTTGGTTTCGCCTGCGATTAGATTTCCTTGCCTATTTTTCGATACACCCGGCTCCATTGGGAGCATTATTAATTTGTACAACACTTCACTATTCCTCAAATTGCGAAAGCCAGTTCTTCGTCCTTCCATCGTACTTAGCAAAGTTTTGACCGCAAGAGGATGGAAAACACAAGCGGATGTACTATATGCATTGTAGCTAGCAATGATACCCTAGAGTAATATCAGCATCAAGCAATGTTCTATCTCAGCACCCAATATCTCTCTAGTGAACCCTCGTTCCTCCGTGACAGTTCTCCAGTGGTCGCCACGGCGTGCATGTCCAGCTACCACCTGTTCGACATGCTCTACCCAGCAACGGCGACGCCGGTCTCAACCAGAATGCCTCCCTGTACCATCGCCCTACTGCAAGCATCGTACGTCTCCTCACACCACAGCATGGACAACACAAGCTGACACCACATCAAGGTCTCACACTCTAGATTCAGCCTCTCAACCCATGTGCAACCTCATCGGCTCTGCATACCATAAACAAAAGCACAAACGTCTGCACGGGCAGCAAGTAGTTCCCACACCCAGCACCTGTCAGCACCTTAATCCCCTGCCACCACCACCACTTCAACCAAGCATACATCCGACTTTGTTCCCGCGGAGACGACTCTCCGACGCATAAATGCGGGCTGAAAAGCACATAAGCGGCAGAAAGGGAGCGCCGTGAGATCTGGACCCAGCAGATGCCGGTGCCGCCCGCGTCGGCCACGCTAGCAATGTGCAGCAACACAGCCCTCAGCCTCTTCTTTTTTTTTGCTTTCCGCAGTATGCATCTCCTATCAAACCCCGAGGAAGAATTTTCGGGGCATTCTAGAAGCCATTTTTTTTCCCTTAGGAGATGCGTTACACAGGGTTTGGCATTTCAAAGCAAAAGAACAGTGGGAAATCGGACCGAGGCTCGGGGATAGCGATGAATGCGTCTGTCTATAATGTATTATGTGCGCGTGCCCAGAAAGAACATCTGGTATGGTGTAGAAAATACTGCAGCAAATGCATCTATGATTCCATGGTTGCGTGACATACACCACCTGGCACTGTCGAAAGAAGAAACGAATGTGGATAGAGCAAGTATCACAATGGTATCATAGCCCACAACCAACCATTTTACCCCCCGGGACCAGATTCATCAGCTTGCATATACAGACCACATGGTTTGTGTTGTTTTGACAAGCTGTTTTACTGTCAAACCTCATAACAAAGAGAAGTAGGAGGGTTATAAGGAGTACTTCCTACATCGTTACAACATCATCTTAATATAACAAGTTTTCAACAGTTTGACATGAATGGCGTGGTTCCCATTCCGCTCGGTACACTTTCACCGAGCAGACGTGACCCAACGCATGTGGGCTCCACCGAAAAACGTCGGATCTGGGCCTTGCCTACCACGAACGACGCGGTGCAGTGCGTCCGGGCCCTGGCTTGTGGGTGCGTGTGTACCACAGTAATTTGACCTATCGGAATTGCGCTGGAGAGTAATGTGGGACGCACGTTAGGTGGGTTTTTGGCGTGCTGGGGGAACCGGCCGATGCGGTTGGACTGCAGGACGTCATGTAGGGCTGAGAAGAGCGCTGGGGATCGCGCGAAGCGATTTGGTAGTAGTATCGATAGTAACGGCTTTGACGGCAGGAACGACTTCACACATTTCGCTGGTGCGGCTGTAGAGTTCGCATGGCTTGTTTCAGAAAACCAAGGTCGCGTCGTTGTTGGCGCTGGCGTTGGCGCTGGCTGGTCCTGACAAGATCACGGCTGTTGACGTCGTTTGTGGGTGTTAGAGTTCTGGGGAAATCCGGTTCGGGACCTGTCGACGTCAGAGTGTCAGATAGCGAGGAACATCTTTGACGGAAATGGTTCATGCGTCCAAGACGTGTGCCGCGGAAGGTTTTACTCGCCCTGGAAAGAAGGTGTCATTGTTCTTACGCTAGAAGATCGTCATGTCCATGGGTTAAGCGGTGACCCTTTCAAGGTTTGTCGGCTCCACGCGCATGACGCCCGTTATCCACTGTTTGAGTTCGACTACATCCGATGTTCCGCGGAGCGTGCTGCATGTTGTTTTGGGTAAATATCTCGTTGCGAGTTTATGCGCGAGGGTTATATTATGTGAAGTCATCAGAAGGGCATTGTCGCGTCAGTGTTTACTGATCATGATGCGCTGCTTGTTCATGGTCGTGAAACGATTGGTTCGAGTTGTTACTATGGATGCGCGCGTGCATGATTATTCCGCGGTGCAAATATATTGCGCGCATGTATTTTGATGAAAGATGTTCGGATATCTGGGATGCAGAGTGATCGGTCGCGATAGTGCGTCTTCTCAGCTATGGTTGATTTGAGCGCTGTTCGACAGCACGTATGTCTTTGATACTGACGGAGACATCGACAATTCAGACCATACAGAAAGAACACAGCATACGGTTAGTTTCTGTCAGGCATATTGATATGTTACGGTTTGAATATGATCATTGCTATAGCATTACGCAGTTCAGTCTCTCTTTCCGACATTGGTGTCCATACACCACATACAATATGGTTCAATCAAGACTATGCATCGCCAACATATGCAAAGGCTGAATACCTGTGAAAGACAATCCCTTGCCGGGCAATTGTCTGTGATTTATACATCGGGACCTTGTTTTCAGTAACAGTGGTATATATATTTTCTATGGATGGTATCATACCCAGATATGTCGAAACTCCATGGTAGTCGTCACCATCATAGTCGCATGAGGTATTCTATCTCTGCCTTCACTATATATGAGGCAACAGGTCCGACCATTCCACACTACGGAAGCTACTCGCAGGAAGGGCTCTAAGACCAGCGAAACCTTCTACAATGATAAAAGTCCGCGCGATACCATATGACCCCATATGCGTCACGTTGAGAGCGTACTGGAAGAACGGATGTATCTCATCGATGAATTCTGTAACGGTATTGACTTGCGCAATACCTGCCAATCGACAAAGATTGGGGAGTTGCCAGTTCATCAAGATCCAAAGGTTACCGAAAGAGAATCCACATCCGATAAGTAGTAGGCAGGCGCCTCGCGAGAGATCTCGTTCTAACTGCGTTGGATAGTTGAAGTCCCACGCAACAAAGTGAATTAAGATGAAAGTGAGTGATATGATCGTAGAAACCCCAATCTCGGATGGGGTCACCTTCCCCGGATTTGCACGCGAGGTGTCTTTAAATCGAGTTATCGGGACATTTTTTGAATGGTTACCAACTGGAATTAAATGCTCGAAGCCCCACATTATAGGATCGAGGATTTGGTAAGGATCTGGAGGCGGATTGATGAAGTCGAGTGGAGTGAGATTGGAAGGCTGCTTGGCTGCGTCCCCTGCTAAAGCCAGTACATCTCTTAGTCGGAGTGATCCTACGAGATGTAATGTCTCCGTCGTGTCAACGTCGAGGGGCTTATGGAACCAGAAGTAGAATGTCGGAAAGGTACACAGTACGATGGCTACGACATCGAGCTCGAGCATCGAGACAGCCAAGTGCTGAATAGCACGACCGATGCATTGAAGTGCATACCAGAAGATCTGAACGGATGTAAGGATACGTACGAAAGCGTCTGCTTTGTTCTTGTCCTGGAGAGTTTCGCGTTTGATCGTGGGGAAGTCGAGGAAGCCATTCTTTACAAGGTAGTGAACCTGGTGGGCGTTGATGGGAAAGCGTGGATAGTCTGGGGCATCAAGCACAAAGCCACCCATGTCGGCGAAGAAGGCGTGCGTCATGGACCATTCGGGATACCCGAGTTTACGAAACGCGGCCACAGAGTGTCGGGCAGAGAGGTATTGGACCTGGGCGAACGATGCAAGGATCTCTGGAAAGAAGATGGTGAAGGCGACCCATGACAGCTTCGTCGACAGATACGATCGGAAGTCGTGCTTTTCGGGTATATTCAGGAAAACGACAGACCAACTGCACAAAAAGACAGTGACGACGCAGCTCCAGATGATATCGATTGTGCCGCGTTCATTTGGCGAGGCAACCCAGCCATGTACCAGGGTGGTGTTCATCCAGTTGAATTGTGCTCGTAAATATCTAGACTTGTGTTGTGATATATTGAGTCATTTCTCGCGCGGTAAGCCGCTTTATGGGACCTCACCGTTCATGAACATTAGGCCAAGTTGTAAAGATGGCGCTTTCTTGAGCCGCATTTCAGGTTGAGGGGCGTCTTATTGTTGCACACATCGGTCAGATAGCAGTAAGTTTGCATCATGAACCATCTGATATGGGTAAGTGAACTGATGTGAGCCTGGGATTGACAGCCACACGATAAGTACCATGTTGTTCCATTGGTTTGGACGAGGCTGACCCAAGGCTGGGCTGCGCGAGGCTGCGTGGGGGCGGAAACAGCGGGAACTTGCAGCGGACGAAGAGCGGGAACATGAGCTAGGGAACGGTCGCTCTACCCGTGCCTTGGAGGCTAGATCGCTGGCAGTGGTTGTCTTTAGTATTGGCGATGAGATGGGGTTAAATCAGATGATCCGTATGCTAATACCTCACCGCGGAGGATATGCCAGTGCTGGATCTGGGGATAGTTTAAACATATCTGTCTTGTGTATGTTGGTACTGAACAATTTGCAGTGCGTGAATCATATGCCGGTGCTGAATGGGTTGCCGATATGGTAAACATGCCGGTGGTGGAAAGTGACGGAGCTGATACATTTGACGGGCGTGGATGTTTGACGGAGCTGAATGGTCTGCCGCGCGTGAATGGTCTACCGGGGTTGAATAGTTTGACGTGGTTGAATAGTTTGCCGGTATGATAAACATGCCGGTGCTGAATCATGTGTCGGTATGATAAACATGCCGCGCGTGAATATGTCGGTATAATAAGTTGCCGCGCGTGATCAGTCTGCCGGTGCTGAATGGTTTGCCGGTCTGGTAAAGATGCCGGGCGTGAATCACTTATCGATATGGGAAGATCTGTCGGTATGGTAAACTGCCGTGCGTGATTCCTTTGCCGATATGGTAAACATGCCGGTGCTGGATACTTTGCCGGGCGTGAAGTTTGTCGGGCGTGAGTGGTCTGCCGCGCGTGAATCACTATCGATAGCGAGCAATTTTGTCGGTATGGAAAGAACTGTCGGGCGTGAATCATTCGCCGGTATGGTAATCTCTCAGTGCTAAATCAACTTAGCACTTCCAACTGCAAATGCTTGTATCAAGCATCCGCTCAGATACACGACCAGAATACAGGACGCAATGAATCGCACATCCCTGGAGACACTCTCAGCGTGATGCCATGCTTCATTCAAATACACAAACGCTAACCCCACCATCCGTTATTGCAACGCCATATCCTACAGCTCACATACAAGAGCGTTTCGCCGAACCAGGTAAAGTATGCCTTTTGTTCCCTATCTCCTGTCATATCATCGCGCCCGCCGGAAACGAAACAAGTTGTGTGTAATCGACGGCGATTCTAGGTAAGCTTCTGCTTGATGAAGAAAGCTCGCAAGTGCGATAGTTGCCAGACGCATGTCACGCCCAGAATAACGAGTTGGATGAGGGTCCAACGGACGACGCGGGAGTTGGTGTGTTCGGACTGGTCGCGGAATTCGGCCTCGCGTTCCTAGAATAGATGTTAGCCGGTGTCTTCCTGTTATCTTCCCCAAGCGATGGGTGGACGCCAAACATACTCTCTGGAAGACCTGTTCCCTCCTCACGTCCTGCAACCTCGAGTTCAGGTCCTTGACTTTCTGCACCAGCGTCTGGACCTTGTCCTTGTCCGTGCTCTCGATCCTGCTTGTCTCGCCAATCGCCATGTCCAGCGTGAACTTGACGGTGCCGTGTACGCCTGAGCTCAACCAGCCACCGCCGCTGCTCGGTACGTTCTGGGGTGTCACGCAGATCCTATGTTGACCGCTGTCGGCAGCGCTGAAGGTGAAGCGTCCGTTCGAGCTACCCCGTTGGGCAACGATACGGTGGTTGTTGTCGAATGTCTCCTCTACTGTAACGAAGACGCCGACGTCGGGCTTGGTTTGGTAGGTCTTGGTTGCGTCGTCCCATGCTTCGGCGTGGTAGTGGCCTGGAATTTGTTAGCCGTAGGTTCTCCCGCTGACTCTGCGACATCTCCAGGCCAGGAGAATCATAAGTAAGAAATTGTCGTACCAACTACCAGCGTGTCCTTTGGCAATTCCTCGTAGAAGCACTTCTGGACCGCTCCGTCCATGAAGAAGTGCAGCGCTTGTGACGGCACCGCCAGCGCGGCTGCGAGCAGTAGTGTTGGTCTCCACATGTCTGCGATTCTGGTTCCCCGCGGAGGACTGACTGTAGCGCGGAGTTTGAGTGTTGGGTGAGCTGGTCACTTGGGAATCTTGAAGCTCGTATGCTCGAGATCGCGAAACTCCAGGTGTACGTTCCGAAAGCGGTTAGACCTCCGACACGTGCGCCGCTCCCTCTTTCGCGCCGGGGCGTGTTGAGCCTACACCACCGCAACTTTCCTCGTAGGTATCTCCTATCTTCCCTTTCGATTATCAATTTTTCAAGAGAGACCTCAAGTTATGATGGTACCTACAATCCGAAAATTTCACACAACAACTGTCAAGGGCTGTTGCAGTCGCTGATGGCAAACCAAAAGTACTAGAGTCGTAGCGTGAAGGCAATATAGTACACTACTACATACAGCTGGATAGATGCGAGCTCACGTAAGACTATCTTCATTCATCCAGTCGAGTCAGCGGCGACTCTACCAGGAGTCGACTCAATCCAGACACCTCCGAGGCCAACCCCGCAACTACAACATATAACCTAGGTAAACAGATTGTGTGCATATTTCCAGCCGCATCGACCAAACTCTTCTCTTTTCATAGTCTTTCAGTCTCCCTTAATTCAAAGATACATAATCTGATCGCCTTGAGACTGCTATCTTCACAAACTTGCATCCATCATCAAGCACACCAACAACCCTCTATCAAGCCGTGGACCAGCCAAACCCACATCAACCCGACAATGACACTCTTCACGCCCTCCCCATCCGACCTAAAAACCCTCTCCAGCACCCCCAAAACCATCCTCATAACCGGCGGCTCCTCCGGCATCGGCCTCGCAACAGCAACCCTCCTCTCATCTCTAAACCCGTCCCACAACCTCATCCTGCTCGATCTCCAACCCCCACCTCCAACCTTCACCCACTCGCCATCCAACCTGCTCACCCACACCTGCGACATAACCTCCTGGCCCTTCCAACGCGCTGGATTCGCAGCAGGCCACGCGCGCTTCGGCCGTATAGACTGTGTATTCGTCAACGCAGGAATAGCCGAACACGGCGACCAATTCTTCAACGATGCATTGGATAGCGAGGGAGAACTAGCGGAACCAGATCACCGAACGCTGACGCTGGATATGAATGCCGCGGCTTCGACAACCAAACTCGCCATCTACTACCTGCGGAAAAACGGGCCAGAGGGCGGTTCTATTGTGTTGACGGCGAGTTTAGCGGGGTATCTGGCTTCAGCGGGTGCGCCGTTGTATTCTGCGGCGAAACATGGGGTGGTGGGCTTGATGAGGGCGTTGAAGCAGGAATGTGCGAAACTGGGGATTAGTATTTCGGTTGTTGCGCCTGCGATTACGGTTACGCCTATTCTGACGGCGAATAACACTAAGTTGGCTATGCAGCCTGATGCGTATGCGAAGCAGATGGCGGAGGCGGGTGTGCCGATCAATCGACCTGAAGCCGTGGCGCTGGCGGTGTGTTGGTTGTTCAATGAGGGCAGCAAGGCGAATGGTGCGGGCATATTCATCCAAGCGGATCGATTTGCGGATTTGGAGACAGGTTTGGCGAAGAGCAGGCAGGCGTGGATGGGTAAGGAGATGTTGGATCTGTTTCGTGGGGGAAGAAACGCGCCGTTGTTTGCAAGGCTGGAACAGGATGAGGTCAAGGCGAAAATATAAGTAGTTGCATGAGGTAGGATGATGTTGTACATTCCTGCGTTATGCAGTGGATAGTGATGCATCGTATAACAATACCAATAGGGCTATTCCAGTCCCCTATCCATATCCATATCCATATCCGTATCATTTTCCCAATGACGAATATTTTCCCTTCTTGCCAATCCAATCCCAACGCCATCGCTATGCTATCAAAAGCAGAAGTCCAAAGTAGAAACCACGCTCCCAGTCAAAGCCAAACCCGTCATTTCCTCGCCCGTTTGCTACTGACTTCACTGCCTTGGGAGAACACACTGGCGCTCCTCTTATGGCTTTGTCCCGTCGCGCCTTGACTGGTCGCTCGAGACTGCTGTTTACTACTCTCATCTTCGCCTTCTGCATCCACGTCGCCATCGTCGTCTTCGCCGTTGAATCCACCCTCGTCTTCTTCGCCTTCGGCGTCATCATCGGGGTTGTCAGCGTCGTTGTTATCTTCGCGGTCGTCTCTATCGGCTTCGGCATCATCGCCGTAGTTTTTGTTGACGTCGTCTTCGTCTTCCTCGTCGTCGTTCTCCCCGTCGGCGTCGTCGTCCCCACCGGGTGTTTGTTGTTGTGATTCAGGGACTTCTTGTTTTGGTTGTCCTTCGCCTCCTTCACCGCCGCCGTCTCGTCGAGCCTTCATGGCTAGCAAGACCTTGCACTCTCCCTCCTCCTTCTCTCGGACCTTACGTACGTCGAGTAGTTTGCTGACTTTCGAGACGAGATTCTCAAAGACTTCGCCGACCTTGCTCGTTGGTATGCTGACAATGTCACTAACGCCCAACGCCGCGAGCATTTGGCCGATCTTTTGAGTCTGGACGTTGCTCTTTGCTTGTCGCATCTTAAGCAGCTTGTCCGAGCCAAATGTGACACCCGAGGTAAGTCTCTCGTGTGTTGAGACGTTGAAGCGGTGTTCTTGGTGTGGAGAGAGGTGCTTGACAGGCGTCTGGGCGGTAGGTTGTTGGTTCTGTGCCATGCTTTGCCGCCGATTTGCTGCCGAGAGCTGTTGTTGTGCTGAACCAGGAGTGTGTACCATGTCGTTGGCGGAGAGGCTGAGTCTACCAGGTCCTGTTCCACCGCCAGATGCGCGTTTCTTACTACGATCCTGCTGGAACAGCTGCTGGAAGAGGGCCTGGAGGGCTTGTGATGATGTAAAGGCTTGTAGTCCTGCGGAAACGGCCTGGTTCTGCGGCGGTGCGTCCAGTCGTGCCCGGAGTTCTTCGCGCTCGGCATCGAGCCGGTTGGCTGCCATGTTGATGCGCTGGAGCTCGGTGAGCAAGAACTCCTCCTCTTTGACCTCGTCCATTGTGCGGTTGATGAGCGCCGTGGCCAACATCTTTCGATTCCGCTCCATAACCGGGTCGAACTTCGTGAGCATCTCGTACAGGCTGTACTGGTCGGCGTCCATGGAGACTTCTGGTATGCGCTGCTTCATGAGCTTGGCTGAGATATCGTAGAAGCGTGCTTTCAGGTCCTCTAGGGACCGCTTCTTCGACGGCGCAAAGGGCATGGTGGCTAGCGCTTGGTCCTCACTGTTTGCTGGCTCTGACGGGCGTGGTTGCGTCGGCTTGTAGTCGTAGCGATCCCATATCACAGGCCAGCGATACGAGTAGTCTTTTACTACTTCGAATAGGTAGTCTGTCTCCTCGCGACTCCAGTCATCGCTCCGCAGGTACTGGTTGTATTCCTCGTCTGTGAAGCCTGGCATGTCTACTTTGATGTCGTATTTGGCGTAGTCGGCGCACGTCTCGATGTAGTTGTCGGCGGTGTCGCTTTCCTGCATCGGCGCGTCGTCGGCTTCCTGCACGGGTGGTGCGGTCGTGGGCTTGCGCCGCCAGTGCTTGAGGACGAGGCCATCGTTGCGCGCCGGGTTCATAAACGGCTGTTGTACCCTAGAAGCGCGAATTAGCCAATCCTCCGCAGTGCGTCGCGCGTACATACCATCTCTTTGCAGGGCCAGTGCTCTGTCTCTTCGCCCGGTACGCCTTCTTCTCCTCGTAGACGGCGACAGGCGGCGGCCGTTCGCCATATAGCGCAGCAACCTCGCGCGCAACGCCCTCTGGTCGAATGAGAGTCAGTCTCGACCTTTTGACGATTTCCCAAGGAAAGACGTAAGGACTGCCAAACGTACGTATCTTCCTGCTCCCTCCTGCAGGCTTTGAGCGCTTCTGAGTCTGCGCTGCCACGGCTGCTGGACCTACTGCCTTTGGCGCATCACCGCCGGCAGCAGGCAGCCCGAGCATATCGCGCACATCGCGTCCCGACGCCATCGCAACTTTCGCAAGGCGCCGCTGATCGATGAGCCGGTAGTAGGAGAGGGTGCGGGTGATGGAATCGCAGGGCCCCGGGGTGGACGAGCTTAATTTCGTTGTTGGGAAGTCGCGTTGGACCCTGCGCGGGTACCTCACGTGTGGGAATATTGGAATGGCGAAGGAAAAAGTCAAAATGGGCGGATACCTAAATCCAAAAGAATGCGCAAGGGTTTTCGAAGAGATTCAAGTGCAAATCAAGCTACAGGTCAAGTTCTTGCGCTATAGGCACGCACAGCTATGGAGTCATGGATTGCCGCTGTTACGGCACCTTCCAATCGCATACGCAAAGAGGCCATAGCTCCCTGGTGCCCTCCCATGACCGACCCCTCAGATCGCCGCTACCAAGAATGCCAGACAGACATCCATGGATCATCAATGATGTTGACCATGGCAAACGTCACTACTGGACAAAGATGAAATTTGGTGTAGTAAGTGCGTCTATTCGCCCGACTACTCTACCTGAACTAGAACGAGATCCGTCTGTCGCCCTGTACACGCGATGGGCCGTCAGAAGAGACTCCTTTACATGCTATATTTTCCTCGTGCCAAAATGAATAATGAAAATGAGATGCCACAAGTGCGAGCCTCCCCAAGCACACCGCAACGCCGCAAGCGCCCAATGGAAAATCGCTCCCACACTACTGCCAGCTGATGTAGTCTCGCAACGCGGGAGCGCAGAGGTGAAGGAGAGGGTGGTGATGATGTTTTTCGGCGCTGATGAGGAATCCAGGCTGGTGTGGGAGGCGGTTCGGTCGCTCGGTCGTAACTATTACCGTGGAAGGAGATTTTCGATCCCGTCTATCAATCATTACAAGATACCTATACAGGAAGAAAACGTGACCGGGAACACTATCGCTCAAAGAACGGACTCCAGGATGCAACGCAAAGGGAAGGAAACCAAGCTTGGCGACCGCGATTACTACTTGCTGGCGCCGCAGCACAGGGCATTCGCCAGTTTTTGCATGAAGCTAGGCTTCTCGGCACTCTGTCGCGTCGGTTGCGGGTTCGGACTGCTGGCAGGCGCAGCACGGTTGTTTTGTGCCAGGTTGGGCTGGCTGTGTTGGAATTGGGCCTGCGTCGAGGCACCCTCGGGCGGCGCAAGCTCGCCCATGCTCTTCCGCTTGATTTGCGAATCACGGTTCATAGTCTCGCGTGGGCTCCTTCCGGGCTGGGCGCGGGTCGCGCCAGGCTTTGGCAGAGGCTCGTTGAGACGGTGGTGGTCGATAGGCAGATGCGTCTTTTGTTGCCTGTGTTGCTGGCCTTGCATGTTCACAGCCATGGATGAGTTGGGGTTGGCGTTGGAGTGGTGCATCGCCTGGGCAGCCGATGGGTGCGACTTGAGGACCTCCCAGCCCTTGCCGTTGTTCAGCTTCATCCAGTCGTACTCGCCGTCCTCGACCTCTCCGGTGCTCTTGAGAGCCTGAGTGAACAGCTCCCGTAGGTAGTCGTAGTCGGGTGTGTCCTCGAAGCCGAGGTTGCGCACGTAGCTGAGGTACTTGTTGAATTCCTCTGCGCATTGTTAGTAGTGATAGAATTAGTGGATGCAGCCAACGTACCAGGGAAGCCATCACACAGATCCTTGATGGGGGTGGTCTGCTTCTTCTCGCCAATCTTCTCGTACTTCTGCTTGTTGGTGGCAGCCTTGAGACCTTGCCATGGCAATCCACCGCGCAGGAAGTACATGAAGACGTGACCGAGCGCCTCGAGGTCGTCGCGACGGGATTGTTCGCGCCCGAGATGGGTGTTGATGCTCATGTATCGAGCGGTACCGGAGAGAGACTTGCGTTCCCTGTACGGGATGTGCTGCTTCGTCTTGGGGTCACGGTACTGCTTCGCCATACCGAAGTCGACGACGTGGATGACATTGGCGCTCTTTGAGCCAGGGCGGCCGATGAGGAAGTTGTCGGGCTTGATGTCGCGGTAGATGAGGTTCTTCTCGTGGATGGTCTGAACCCGTGACAGCTAGATGAGGTGTGAGCAGAGGAGAGTGCAATGATGCTGTCGGAACGTACCATCTGCTTGGCTACCATGACGACCGTCTTGATGGAGAACTTCCTGTTGCAGTGGTCGAACAGGTCCTCCAAGCTCGGGCCGAGGAGGTCGATGACCAGAATGTTGTGTAGGCCCTCCTGGCCGAAATAATAGACATTAGGGATCCCGGCTGCAGATGGTTAGCCACATAATCGAGGTGCATACATGCGTTGATATACAGGGTGGTGTTGATCACGAGCATCAAAACAAGCGGTAAAGGGGAAGCGAGGTCGGTACTTACGGCAGCCCACGAGGATCTTGTATGTGCGGTACTCGTCGCGCAATTGAGGAGCGTCGCTCTTGCGCGGCTCGAATTTGATGGCGACCTGCTGCTGGTTGAGCAGGTTGGTGCCCTCGAAGATGACGCCGAAGCTGCCCTCGCCAATCTTCTTGCCGACGCGGTAGTGCACGCCGACGACGTTGGAGCTCGTGCTGCCGCTCGCCATGGTGTCGATGGAGCCCGGATAACGGAGGGGAGGAGGAAGGGAGGTGGACGGGAGTGGCAGAGAGGTGCGTGGCTTGGTGGTTGTGACAGCAGCGAGACAGGGCCGCAGCCGTAGGCCGGGAACGAGGCTATGCAACCGGCGAACGCGACTCGGCGTTGCTGAGACGGCGGGTCGAGGGCGAGGCGGGAGCGACCTG